GCAAAGACTTGATTAGGTGAGGGTCTAGTGTGATAGAGATGAGCGAAGTTAAGCCACCCAAAAGATGATCAACCTCGAATTCAGGAGTTCGCTTAATATTATTCCACCATACTCTTAGTTTGGGATTCACATCTATGAACCATTTGAACGTTGACAAAATCTGGCTAGGTCATTATAACACTGCAAACAAAAGCAAACAATCTCTAAACCCATTTTGGCATGGTTTGACCTAAATTAATTATGGTGATCACGTTGAGACATAATATGCAATTGGTCTAAGGGTTTTGGGACCCTTTAGACGATAAGGTAGCTACTAATTGTGCGGATTGACACCAAGGGTCAAACCACCTAGGGTTTATGTAGTGTGTACGGCCTTATTGAGATTTCTAAGAGTTGGTTAAACAGAGACTTGAAGAGGTTCTATGCGAGAAGGCTCGTGGTTTCATGGTAGTAATACTATCCGTTTCTACCACGCATATGCCGACTCTCTATAATAGGGCATTTGAAGAGAATTGGAGTATTTGTGAGAGGTGCAAAGGCACAACATCAAGATAAAAAAAAAAAAGAAGGAAGAAGGTCCAAATTGGGGGAATTATGAGCGGAATGTCAGTTATTAAAGCAACAACATCTAGCAATTAAATGGAAAGTAGTAACACATAGACAGTTTATGAAAAAAGTAAATAAATAAATTCATAAACAAGAGGAAATAAACATGAAAATACATAAGAGAATTAAACAAACAAGGAAAGGGGACAATGATTAAACATGGAAATAAACAAATAAGGGAAAAGGGGAGGGATTAAACATTGAAATAAAGAAATAAGGAAAAAGAGAAAGGGATTAAGCATGGAAATAAGTGATGAAAGGAAAGATAAATAACAATTTAGATACAGAAATAGCAAAACAAACAAGGAAAATACACAAATCACATGAACCCCCACATAAAGCAAGAAACACGTAATGGTAAGAACCTAGTTATATCCCCAATAGAGTCTTCATTCTGTCGCGCCCCATTTTTATACCAAACCGGTTTTGGTGCACAACCTAACAACTCTTTTTGGTTTGTTTGAATGAAGAGTCACCACCTAACGAATTAAGGCGCATTAGGGCACCTATCTAACCTAACTAATCTAACTTAAGAGTCAACGAACCAGAGATCAGGTAAGGGTTCAAGTTACCTCGAGGGGAAGGTGTTAAGCATCCCTCGAGGTCCATAAATATGGGTCCCGACCGTATCTCATACAATTTATGTGGGGGTTACAAGTAGCAATCAAGGTCACTATTTATTAATTAGTTAATTAATCAAGCATGCGAACTAGGTGATAAAATAAAAACATTAAACAATTAATATATATATATATATATATATACAAATTAAGAGATAAACGAGGAGACGGAAAATGCACCAGTATATAGAAGAAAAAAACTAATTTTATTTATTAAACTAACCCAAACAGAGATGAAATGCAAGGATAAAGTGTTTTGAAAATTGAGGAAGTCATGAATAGAGTTTTGAAAACTAAAAAAAATGTTTGTTTCTTTATAGGGATGATACCACGATATTAATAATCGCGCTCTTCCACCATAGAAATACTTTTAATTTGAGGTTGGTCTTAGAAAATTAGTAATAATTTATTTTGGAGAGGACTGAAAAGTTTGATTAAAATAAGCACATAAATATTTACATATAAGTACACATAATCCCTTTTGAAAAATCATGGGTAGGTGGTATTCCCGGGGACGCGTTGACTTAATTAAAAAATGGAATCAGACCTCGTAATTTCTTTTGCTTTCCCACTAACTATAAGTTAGGAGATAGTACTTATATAATTTTTTTTAAAAAAAAAATCATATTCAATCCAAATTTTGAAAAGAGTGTGGAAACAATGATTTTGACAAAGTGAATTATAGACAAAATGATTATGTCATAAGACTTGTTTAATAATGGGCAGAACATATATAATTTACAAAGCATAAATTTTTTATTAATGCAGCAACAGAAGATTATTAATGCAGTAGCATGCTAACAATTCGATAATTTATTTTATGCAGTAGACAGTGTATCGCAATTCAAAATTTAATCACATCGAGCATATTTTAATATAGGGCAGGTTAGTTAAACAAGCATAATATTAAAAGCAAAGGTTGATTTAAAAGCATATTAGTTATTTTAATCAAGGGTAGATTAACATGCAAAGAAAGATTTATTAATTTTATCTTTAAGTGGCAGTAACTAAATATGTTACAGAACAGTGGCAAAAAATAGGCATAACAAAATTTATTCAACTATTTAACATGTTGGAAAATATTAAGTCTTATAGGCATCATTTCTAATCAATTAGTTTGAAAGTTATTAAACACTTATTAATTCAACTAAATTATTAACAAGCTACAACTTATTTAGAATTCCAGATTAAATATCATACTTAGAGATTATTAAATTATTATTACTATAATAAGTTACAATAATGGCAGGTTACCAATTATTTCATAGGCATGACATCTATTAAAAAATTAATGTGCAAAATTATTAAAAGCCTATATGCATGATTTCTAAACCCAAAAATATACTAAAAATTAATTAGATCATACATGCATGCTTTCTAACTTTTCCCACTTAGTGCAAACAGATCATTAATCAACATTTAATCTATTCTTTTTAATGTTTAAGTGCTAGTATTACGAAGCTCTTGAGTTTCAGCAATAAAGTTACTTTTTTCCATTTATTTAATATGCTCTATTTATTTGTGCGTTATTCTTTATTCCAGCAAAATTTGTTATAAAAATATTGAATCTGAGACTATGGCACATAATGAGACCACACAACTTATAATGACTTAACAGAAACAGAAAGGTTAGAAAGGTTGAGGAATTCGAGGAAAAGCCCAATCCAAACTTAGTAGAAAAAGAAATGGTAAATCTAGGAAGTTTGGAGGTAACACAAGAGACCCGAGTAAGCATTCCATATGACGAAAGATGACACGAAAGAGTATATTGAGTGTCTCTTAGAGAATACAGATATTTTCGCTTGGTCCTATGTAGACATGACAGGGCTAAGCCCTTCAATAGTAGCTCACCGGTTTCCCACTGATCCAGCTTGCCCTCCAGTAAAGCAGAAGCTCAGAAAATACAAGCCTGAATTGACTTTGAAAATCAAAGAGGAAATATCAAAGCAATTAGAGGCCAAAATCCTTCAAGTGACGGAGTATCCAACCTGGCTTGCAAACATCGTTTCAGTACCCAAGAAAGACAGGAAGGTCAGAGTCTATGTGGATTATCGAATCTCAACAAGGCTAGTCCCAAGGAGAATTTTCCATTGCCCAACATACATATCTTGATTGGCAACTGTGCCAAGCATGAAACACAATCATTCGTGGATCTCTTTGCTGGTTATCATCAAATTGAGATGCACACGGACGATGCTGAGAAAACTGCTTTCATCACACCGGTGGGTGTCTACAACTACAAGGTGATGCCTTTTGGGTTAAAGAATACTAGGGCTACATACATGAGAGCAATGGCCACTTTGTTTCATGACATGACCCACAAAGAAATTGAAATTTATGTGGATGACGTCATCATCAAATTAAAGAAGGGTTCAAATCATCTGGATGACCTTCAAAATTTCTTTGCCAGACTGGGCAAGTATAACTTGAAGCTGAATCCTACAAAATGTGTCTTTGGTGCTCCTGTTAGAAAGCTACTGGGTTTCATTGTCAGAAGCCGGGGTATAGAATTGGATCCATCAAAAATCAAAGCTATTCGTGATCTTCCTCTGCCGAAGAGTTAGAAGGAGGTAATGAGTTTCTTAGGGCGAATTAACTACATCAGTCATGTCATAGTTAGTCTACTCTCATTTGTGAGCCTATTTTCAAGTTGTTGATGAAGGATGGCGGTGAAATGGACAGACGAATATCAACAAGCATTTGAAAAGATCAAAGATTACTTGTCCAATCCTCTTGTGTGGTTCCACCCGAATATGGTAGGCCATTGTTGTTGTACATATTAGTATTGGATAATGATTTCAGTTGCATCTTAGGGCAACATGATGAAACAAAAAAGAAGAAGTAGACGATATATTACATGAGCAAGAAGTTCATATCATATGAAGCTTGATATTCTCTATCGGAACATACCTGTTGTGCTTTAACTTGGGTTGCCTAGAAGTTGCGACACTACCTCTCCTCACACGCTACTTATTTGATCTCAAGAATGTATCCTCTGAAGTATACTTTTCAAAAGCACATGCTTACAAGTAAACTAGCTAGATGGTAGACACTATTGAGCGAGTTTGACATAGTAAATGTTACACAAAAAACAGTGAAGGCACATATATTATCGGATCATATGGTGGAGAACCCTGTAGATGATGATTATAGACCGTTGAATACTTACTTTCTAGATGAGGAAGTAGATTTCGTGGGCGAAGACATCTCTGAAGAATACGATGGCTGGAGGATGTTTTTTTATGGAGCTAAAAATTTGAGCGGATCTGACATCGAAGTTGTTCTGATCTCACCAACTGAGCAATATTATCCGGTATCGGCGAAACTTAGCTTCCTTTTCTCAAATAACATGGCCAAATATGAAGCTTGCATATTGGGACTCCGATGGGCGATTGACTTGGATGTCCAAGAAATGTTGATAATATGAGATTTAGACCTATTGATTCATCAAGTTCGAGGCGAGTGGGCAACCAAGAATCAGAAGCTGTTACCATACTTGGAGTGCATGCATAGGTTGTGCAAAAGGTTTATCAAGATGGAATTCAAACACGTACCAAGGATCCTGAATGAATTAGCAGATGCTTTAGCCACTTTGTCCTCTATGGTTCAACATCCTGATCATAATTACATTGATCCCATTTACATTCATATATATGAATAACCAGCATACTGCTTTCATGTTGAGGAAGAGCCTGATGGAAAGCCTTGGTACAATGACATTCAACGATATTTGATGAATGGTGAATATCCAGAAGATGCAACAAGTGTACAAAAATGCACAACTCGAAGGTTATCAAATCAATTCTTTCTGAGTGGAGAACTTATAGGATGACTCCCGACTTGGGGTTGCTAAGGTGCGTCAAAGCTGGAGAAGCTAGCAGGTTGATTGAAGAGATACACGCAGGAACATGTGGTCCTCACATGAACGGTTTTACATTGGCAAAGAAGATTTTGAGATCGAGATATTTTTGGTTAACCATGGAAACATACAATATTCGCTATTGTTAAATAATGTTACCAATGTTAGACTCATGCAGATATGATCCGAGTTCCTCCCAACAAACTCAATGTTACTAGTTCACCTTGGTCATTTGCAGCTTGGGGCATTGACGTCATTGGTCCAATTGAGCAGCAGCATCTAATGGACACAAATTCATTCTTGTTGCAATTGACTACTTCACCAAGTAGGTCGAAGCTACCTCTCACAAATCGGTGACAAAGAAAGTTGTAGATGACTTTGTCAAAAATCATATTATATTTAGGTTCAGAATTCCTGAGTCAATCATCACTAATAACGGAACCAACCTAAATAGTGATTTGATGAGTTCATTGTGTGAGAAGTTTAAGATCAGTTATCAAAACTCGACAGCGTATGGACCACAAATGAATGGAGTGGTTAAGGCTGCAAACAAGAACATCAAGAGGATACTACGCAAGATGATCGATAATCACAAGCATTGGCATGAAAAGCTACCCTTTGCCTTGCTGGGATATCGTACTACCATCAGAACTTCAAGTGGGGCTACACCTTATTTTCTTGTATATGGTAATGAAGCTATGATACGTGCTGAAGTAGAGATACCATCTCTGAGGATTATTCAGGAAGCGGAGTTGAGTGATGCTAAATGGGTACAAGTTCATTCGGAGAACTTGGTATTAATAGACGGAAGAAGGATTAATGTCGTTTGTCATGGTCATCTCAATCAAAATAGAATGGCCAGAGATTTCAACAAGAAGGTCTGACTAGGCATATCTCACCTGGGCAACTGGTTTTAAACGGATCTTCCCGAATCAAGATGAAGCAAAGGGTAAATTCCCACCAAACTAGCAAGGTCCATACCTAGTCTCTCGAGTGTTGATAGATGGAGCACTCATACTCACAAAAATGGATGGAGAAGTTTGGCCCAAACCTATCAACTCAGATGTTGTGAAGAGATACTACATCTAAGTTTGTTTCATGCTCTTTTACTTTGTGTTTGGAACTATGTCAGACCTGATTACCGTTTAAGATGGGATACGAAGAAATTAAAATGACCAAAAGCGATAAGCATAATCAAGGGGGAAATCGGGACTAAGGGAACAAGAGAAACAAAAATAAGAATGATACAAAAATACCATAGATGAGTCAAGCTCAAGCATAATACACAACTTGTCCAACACCACCTCTAAACATGAGTACTTAGCGGGGGCCAAGACAAACTACCGGGCTCACCCTCATAGACAAAACATAACTAAAAAGAAAAAGTCTTATACATAGCAAAAGATCATAAGCAACGTCCCCGGAATGGAGGACTCACTAATAACCTCGATAGAAAATCGTATTAGCCACGCGGAGGAGGATGGTCAAGCGGTGCTCCGGTCCCTACATGGTGACATCATGTAGGCATAGAGTATGCGTTAGTACATTTGAATGTACTAAGTATATGGGATGCAATGCAATGCTACAATAGATGGACATCATAGGAAAAATGCATAATCATACCCGATAGATAGCATATTAATGAGATGATATGTATAATGATGCTTACATAAAAATCATATTTAGTGGGACGTAGCACAAGTGTGGTGAGTGACCATCAATATAGTATTTCCAAGGCCTACCACCCCCTTGGAGAGGCGAAAGAGGTACAAACCCCTCAATGTGGTTACCCGGGCCTACCACCCCCCGAGCTAGGGACCAAGGTACAAACCCCTTGATGTGGTTATACGGGCCTACTACCCCCCGTACTAGGCAACCAAGGTACCAACCCCTCGATACGGTTACCCGGGCCTACAACCCCCCGAGCTAGGCTTGGTCGATTCACAACAATTATATAGAGAATATCATATACATGTATCCATTTCATCATCATTTCAATGATTATATAACCATCCGACTCATAGGACGTACATTAAACCTTCCATTTCCTAAGAATTCTATAAGTGGGCATTTTATCAAACACATGGTGGGCTATTGTTCATGTAAATGAAATCATGTATTTCAAGAGTACTAAGTCCAACCAATTCCAAAATCCATATAAATCAGCCCACCAACAACATACATATATATAAATCAACCTTCATAATTTGATCATGGAAGCATAAAACCATAAACATCACATAATAATTTCATTTCATGATAATATGCAAAATAGACCATAATAGGGTGTGTAGTAGTAATTCCATACTTCAAGAGTTCATAAATGACCATAAGGACCCATAAACTTGAAGTTATAATAGAGGATAAATGGTTGGACTTGTGGAAAGGAAGGTTTCCACAATCAAACCCACATACCTCAACTTTGGAGAATCCTTGATGAAGATTGGAATGGAGAATTGAAGCTTGAGATTGAGTCTTGAATCCGGAATTAGAGCTTGAGATGTTTGAATTTGGTTGAAGATCTTGGTGGAATTTTGGAGAGGGCTTAGAGAGTGTTTTTGAAGTAAAAA